TCAAGATGTAAATTAAATGCAGCACACATAGCCAGAACAACTCTGATTGTGGTTAATCGGACAACTGGCGAGAATATCTCGTTAAAATCAATGCCCTCTTTCTGAGCATATCCCTTAACCACCAATCTTGCACGATATCTCTCCACTTGATCATTGCCATCACGTTTGATCTTATAGACCCATTTGCAACCAATGGCTTTTCGACCTTTTGGAAGATCAACAAGTTCCCATGTTTTATTTCTATGTAAGGCCTCTATTTCTTCATGCATTGCTGCCATCCACTGAGAAACATCAGAACTCCTCAACGCCTCTTGAAAGGTTGATGGTTCTCCTTCTTCAGTTAAGAGACAGTACGCATCATGACTTGCCATAACATAGTCTGAATGCCAAGATGGTCTCCTTCTCTCACGTCTTATTTGTTGAACTTCTTCATCATTGGCTTCATCTGGTTCTTGTTCCTCATGCTCTTGTTCTGTTTCAGAGGTGTCATCCTTTTTAGACTTTCCTCCTATCTCCACTATACTAGTGTCTTTGATAGTGCTGTCATTCTCCTGCTCCTTTTGCAGTTCAGTTTCTGCAAAGACTACATCCCTGCTAACAACAACCTTGCGGGCAGTGGGATCCCACAAGCGATACCCCTTAACATTGTCAGCATAACCCAAGAATATACATTTCCTGGATTTTGGGTCCAGCTTTGTTCTTTCTTGGGAGTTGTACATCACGTACACAGGACAACCAAATACATGTAATGAAGAATAATTTGATGGTTTTCCATTCCACATCTCCATTGGTGTCTTCAAACCAATTGCTGTTGATGGTGAGCGATTGATAGTTAAAGGCAATTTGGTGGTGATGAAAGCTGAGAAGATCACATCAAATCTATACTTGCTCTTGGGAGAAACGTTGCAAGAAGCAGATGCATCAGTTGCAGCAATAAGTCAAGAAGAGGCAACGATGATGTGGCATCGTAGACTAGGACATATGTCAGAGCGAGGCCTGAGAATTCTTGCGGAACGTAATCTCTTGTCAGGGCTTAAAATGGTAACCTTACCATTTTGTGAGCACTGTGTGACAAGTAAGCAACATAGATTACAATTTGCCAAAGTAACTACAAGGAGCAAACACATACTTGACTTGATCCATTCTGATGTCTGGGAATCACCAGAAATTTCCATGGGAGGGGCAAAATATTTTGTATCTTTCATTGATGATTATTCCCGGAGATTGTGGGTGTACCCA